GTGAACGTTGGAGTCTGCAGCAAGCAAGCCTCGTGCTCGCTTCAGTGCCTGGCTGCCGGCCGCCATCTTGGCTGACAGTTAATTTGCATATACTCACTGATTAGCCAATGAAAAGGGTAGCGGTTGTACGCCAATTACCATGTTTCTCTTTTATTAGTGTAGATGATATTTGACAAAGGTGTCCACAAGGAGAAAAATATACCCTCTTCAAAAAGTGGTGCTGGGATAACTGGACATCCACATATAAAAGAATAAAACTGAACCCTTATCTTACACTATATACAAAAATCAACTCAAAATGAATTAAAAATCTACACTAATAAAAGACAAAGATGCTAATTGACCATACCTTTGCTACGCCTTAAGCCACGCCCACCAGCCAATCAGAGCAACTATATGCAAATTAACTCAGCTGTGGACTCGCGTGGGAGACCCATTCCTCAGATTGGGATTTTCTCACTTTTTCCAGGACTCTCTCCTGAGGTGGGGACCGGAGGTGGGGACTGGTCTAGCTTGGAAGTGGCAGCTGGGAGTGGTAGGAAGGAAGGAGGAAGAGGCCGATCGAGGTCGTAGGTAAGGCGCATTCTTAGTATTCCAGTTTTGCATCCAAAGGAACATGGCAATAGTTAACGTGTGGAACATGGCCCTAATGCCCAAGGGGGTGTTCCAGGGATTCAGCGTCAGTATCAAGGTCATCCCGGTTACGCACAAATGTTCCACGCTGGATTTGTTCACAGTAGATTGTACCTGCAGGGTATAGGGCAGCGGTTCTCAACCTGTGGGTCGCGATCCCTTTGGGGGTCGAACGATCCTTTCACAGGGGCCGCCTAAAGACCATCGGAAAACACATATATAATTACATATTGTTTTTGTGATTAATCACTATGCTTTAATTATGTTCAATTTGTAACAATGAAAATACATCCTGCATATCAGATATTTACATTACGATTCATAACAGTAACAAAATTACAGTTATGAAGTAGCAATGAAAATAATTTTATGGTTGCGGGTGACCACAACATGAGGAACTGTATTAAAGGGTCGCAGCATTAGGAAGGTTGAGAACCACTGGTATAGGGGGTGATTTTTACATGTAACTCCCGGCCCAAGTGTGGGGCTGCCTGAACCTAACAGGTCAGGTCAGTCCCTGCTGGTGCCCCTCTGCCCACTGGAGCCAACCAGCACTCTACAGGGATCCAGAAGTGGGTATTCGGTGCCAGGACACTGACCTTTCCAGGAGATGGGGCCAGAGCCGAGTGGTAGGTGGAAGTTGCGAAGGGCTCCCCCACAGACACATATGGGTGTTGGTCATTGGGCTGGACTTCACTGGGGCTCGCTCTCGAGATGGGGGCCAGCCCAGCCAGTATGTGCGTGAAGCACCTCCATGGGTTTTTCCTGAGTCTGCATCCGGAGACCCAGAGGGCAATAGGTAAGGGGTGCGGTGCAGCCACAGGGTCCGAAGGGAGAGTTCCAGGGGCCGGTGGCAGCTGATCCATGGTCATTCTGGCTACACCCCCACCACCTGGGCGTTGGGACTGCAGTCTGTTCACTAGAGATTGTGCCTGCCAGAGGCGGGAGAGGCTCACACACCACAGCTGTGCTTGCCAGCCATGAGCCCGGCTTCTGGCTGAGCGGTGCTCCTGCTGTGGGAGTGCACTGCCCACCAGGGGGCAGCTCCTTTGTTAAGTGTCTGCTCCCTGGTGGTCAGTGTGCATCATAGCGACCGGTCATTTCAGTCATTCTGGTCGTTCTGCCGTAACAGTCGCTGGGCTTTTATATATATAGATGACACCAGAAGCACAGGTAACAAAAGCAAAAATAGACAAGTGGGACTATATCAAACTTAGAAGCATCTTGCACAACACAAGAAACAATTAATAGAGTAAAAAGGCGACCTACAGAATGAGAGAAAATACTTATAAGCCATATATCTTACAAGAGGCTAATATCCAAAATATATTCTACAACCAAAAAAATAAATAAATAAAGTAACCCAATTTAAAACTGAGAAAAGGACCTGAATAGAAAAAGGCTTAAAAATGGCCAACAGGCCGAAACCGGTTTGGCTCAGTGGATAGAGCGTCGGCCTGCAGACTGAAAGGTCCCAGGTTCGATTCCGGTCAAGGGCATGTACCTGGGTTGCGGGCACATCCCCAGTGGGAGATGTGCAGGAGGCAGCTGATCGATGTTTCTCTCTCATCGATGTTTCTAACTCTCTATCCCTCTCCCTTCCTCTCGGTAAAAAATCAATAAAATATAT